ACCACGAGCCGATTTCACCGGCCCACGCGCCCACGTCTCCCGCATTAAATGCGAGGACGGTTACGTCCCATCCACCACGCCACGCTCGGCCACTACGGCAGCAGGTACCGTTTCGACTCCCAATAAAACTGCCTCAAAAGGCGCGCCGCTCGCGGCCGAGCCAATAGGGAAAATATTTCCCGCGGCCTGTTCCTTTCATAGGAAGGAACCGGGCTCTGAGCCTATTACGATCCAGGGGTTCGAAGGCTGGACCCCAAAAGGGTTTCGACAGCTGCCCCAGGATAACAGAGTCAGGGGCGACTGCGGGTGAGCCTATTCGGGGCCGAGACCCAAGCGAGCGAAACGCTTGGGACGCCCAAAGTCATGTCCGAGACCGGCAGGAAAGTATCCGAATGGGATCCCACCGTAGGGAGGCACCGAGCCACCGAGGCCCAACGAACGGCCTCGGCACCCACTAGAGAAATCCTCTGGTACTCTTGGAGTGTGTCTCTGGACCGCTAGCCGTCCCCTAACGAACGGGGTTCGGGCCTCCACTCGGACTACCCGATAACAGCTCACCGGAAGTGCCACCGCTTGTGCCCATCGAGGGTAGCGAGGCACATTCCACCCCTCCTTCCGAGCGAAAAGGAAGCGCGAGAGTCGCATAAAAAGTCAGGGGAACCCCTGACGGCCTTCTTGCCCTATGCAGAGGCTAGGGGGCTCCTCCTGCAAATATGCCGAGACCCCACGACCCGGGCTCATGCCCAAAGGGGCCTCGGCAAACAAACCCTCACACGCGAGGGGCGTATAAAAAGTCAGGGGAACTCTCGACGGCCCTCTCGCTCTGCGCAGAGGCTAGGGGCTCTTCCTGCGACCTTGCTGAGACCAGAATGGGCTCGGCAAACAAACCCTCACGCGCGAGGGGCGTATAAAAAGTCAGGAGAACTCTCGACGGCCCTCTCGCTCTGCGCAGAGGCTAGGGGCTCTTCCTACAACCTTGCCGAGACCAGAATGGGCTCGGCAAACGAACCCTCCGTCCAAACGAAAAGGATATGTGAGGGGCGAATGAAAAAGTCAGGAGACCCCCGACCGTCCTCTTGCTCCAGGCGGAGGCTCGGGGGCTCCTCTTGCACCCAAAAACCAAGACAAAAACACGATAAAGGGCACCGAGCCCGTTACGATCCAGGGGTTCAAAGGCTGGGCCTCCAAGAGGTTTCGACAGCCGCCCCAGGGCAACAGAGTCAGGGACGACTTCGGGGCGAGCCTATGAATGGCCCAGGCCCGAACGAGCAGTCGCTCGGGGCGTCCTAAGTCGTGTCCGAGACCGACAGGAAAGTATCCGAATGGGATCCCACCGTAGGGAGGCACCGAGCCACCAAGGCCCAGCGAACGGCCTTGGCACCCACTAGAGAAATCCTCCGGTACTTTTGGAGTGCGTCTCTGGACCGCTAGCCGTCCCCTAGCGAACGGGGCTCGGGCCTCCACTCGGACTACCCGATAACAGCTCACCAAAAGTGTCCACGCTCGCGCCCATCGAGGGTAGCATGGCACATTCCACCCCTCCTTCCGAGCGAAAGGAAGCGTGAGGGACATACCCAACGTCAGGGGGACCCCTAACGAACCTCTCGTTCCATGCGGAGGCTAGAGGGCCTCTTTTTGCAACCTCGCCGAGACCCCCGCAACCCGAACTTGCGCTTATGGGCTCGGCAAATGCAATAAGAACTGATCACTCAAACGCGAAAGTGGAGAAAGCCCCTGGAGGAGTAACTTCACTCCTCCAGGAGCTCGGGGGCTACACCCGGCGGGTGCGCTCGCGCGCACCCACCGGAACCTTAGAAACCAAACCAATTCCTACAGAGCAGGCATAAACCCAGCCTCGACGAACCCTCAGGGAGAGTGCACGCACTCACCCCGAGGCTCGGGGGCTACTGTCGGGTACCTTAGAACGGGGTACCCCAAGCAAACATCAAAATAAAGCTAGAAGGTAAGCCGTGGGCCCCTCACCTGCCACGACCGAGCCCTCCTCCACCTCGCCTCGAGCCTCGGCGGGGGTCTCAGAACAAACTCCGCCTCGCCGCGAGGCTCCCAGAGGTAGGTCTCGGCGGGGGGGCGCCGAGCCTCGGCAGGGGCGCCGTCTCCCGTCTCGCCCGAGGCTATCCAGGAAGGCCTCGGCAGGGGTACATTCTCCGTATCGCGAGGCGTCTCACGCAAAGGCCTCGGCAAGGAACACGATCTCCGCCCGCGAGGCCTCATTCTCCGTGTCGCCGAGGCCGGCTCGTCCATGGTCCGTCGCCCCCGCCTCGACCGACCCTCCCAACAACTCGTCATGTCTCATTAATGCTTCAACCACTCCCTTAAATCTCGGCCGGACGGTGGCTCAACGCCACAGATGGCCGACGCGCGATTCCAGGTCGCATCAGCGCCATACCGGTCGGGGACAGGTGCGACGGGGATTTACCGCCACCGTGTGTCCTACCACTGTGTGTCCACGATCAGCACCATACATTTGGGACAGGTGCACGACGGGATTACCGACCACTTGTGTCCAAACGCTGTACCCATGATCGGCCGCCCGCTCAAGGCCTTGGCACTGTACACCGGGGCCTCGGCGATCTTGGGGTTCGTGCCTGCCGAGACCCCCCCACCGCAGTGCCAGCCTCGGCATCGACCAAGTCTTGGCCTCGCGCACAGTCCGTCCACAGTGGCTTGCACGGTCGCCGCCGCGTCCACTCCGAGGCATTCCGGGGCTCCCACGATGCATGTGGATCGATGGGATGACCACGCCGCCCAAGATACTCAAGGATGGACCACTCCGACGGCCACACCGCCCGAGAACAGGCTCTGCTGGGCCGGACGCCGCCTCTGTTCACACGACGCCGTATAGTCAGCTCATGTACCGCCCTAGTCCTCCCTTCATGCTATAAAAGGAGAGGACCTGGGTTGTTTTAAGGGAGAGGGAGACCTTGTAACACACACGCACACTCCTGCCGCCGGAGAGCAACGTCTCAAGCGGCCCGTACGGCACCCTGCCGAGACCTAGGACCAGCTCCTTCTCTCCTTTAGCTTGTAACCCCCTACTACGAGCACCTCGGTGCAAGGAATACAAGATCGATCTCTCAGACTGGAAGTAGGGCCTCGATTGCCTGAACCAGTATAAACCTTGTGTCTCTTTGCATCACCATCCGGATTGGGAGCACGCAGAACAAATTCACTGGTTGGTTGAGGACCCCCCGGTCCGAAACACCGACAATATGTGTGATGCATATGTTTCCTTCCGGAATAGGTGACGACTTGGGCTGATTTCGTATTATGGTGAAATTAAGCGTTTTCGCTGTGTTTTAGTGTGGTTATCCCAACAGGCATTCATAATTTCCCTGATTAATCATTGGCCATTGTTCTTGCCTTTTGGTATTCGCTGTTTCTAGTAGTGAACATATGAGGAACAAATAAGATGTTCAGTAGTATCCATGTATAGATACGGATACCAACGTAGTATTTGAAGTTGTCAACAATGTAGTCGTCGTTGTCAAATGTCAACACGAGCTGTGTACGTGCTGGTATACATTGACCACAAATTCGTCCTTGTTCTAAAATGTGGGGAAAATACATCTTAATTCTGGATCAAGGAATTTGGTACTGGTCTGAGACCTGCTACTACTACCAGCATCAATGTTGCTGACCAGCTGCTGTACTATTTCTATTCTTTTAAAGAGTATATGCGTTCTAGAAGCAACTAACAAAATTAGTTGTAAAGTTATTTTAATATATCTTCCTAATACCCTATTTTTTCTCAAGTTATATCTATTGTCTAGATAAAATAAATATCATGAAAACCGTTGGCTTTATGAAGAATCTTCCTTTTATCTTCAATTTAGAGAATTAAGACTTGTTAGAAATGAAGAAAAGAAAGAAAGAGATTAAAGATGACTTATTGTTTTTAAGCCAACATCAAGATCAATAATTTTTTAAACCAACATCAATGTCTAGTACCGGTATCCCAGATATTTTTGTCGACAATTGGCGAACTGCCCTCCCTATATCTAAATCATGACTGCGCCCCTACTTTTTAGTATATATAAAAAATAAATTGGTGGATTTTACGGACCTGGCTAGGGCTAGATTCGATTTAGCACTCTTCATTCCACAGTTGATCTGATGTTCAAGCAGAAAGTATTGAATCAATTGATGTGATGTGATCGTTAAAATTTGCTGGATGTTTACAATCCCATATCTAGAGTGCGTTCGGCTGGCTGGCTGGGCTGAGCCCGGCTGGCCAGCTTACTCACAGAAATACTATTTACGTTCAGATAGAACAGTATTTTTCTCTTTCAATAATCTACCGGAACAGTATTTTTCAGTCCTGTCGAACAGGCCCCTAGTTTCTCAATTTGGAAAGATATATGCACATGATAGGGTGATATTGAAATGAGAGCCATGTATTCTTCTCGCTGAGGTAGCTCTCATCTTATAGTTGTACTAAGGGGCTGTTTGGCGTGGCTTCTAGGGCTCCGACTCTATCCCTAGTTTACTGTTTAGCATTGTTTCGCAATTTAACAAAAATATACTCCAACTTTGATAATCTAAAAATAAACCGAGAGAGCTACAGTGATGCTAGGAGCCGGAGTCCAATAGAGCCACGCCCTCTTATAAAACGACTTGCTGTACGGTCCTGCCGAGTCCACAACTCCGCGTGAGCCGTGGAAGCGGAACGTGCCGCCTGTTGGCTGTTTACCGCCACCGAACCAGCACTCCAGGTCGTTCTGAGCTGTGCAGCTACCGCGAGACTTCTTCCCGCGCTTCCCGGCCTTCCAGGTCTTCCCTCTTCTATATAAAAGAGCTGGAAGAACGCCTCTTCCTCTACTTCTGCCCAACGGCCCAACACCTCCCTCCACCAAAACTGCCTAGCGTAGCTTTGCCAAGCTTGCACGGCTTTGCACAGGCCACAACACAACGAACTCGCACAGTCCGGCTGCTGCTGCTGCTGCTGCAGTACGGACTCTCACAGCAACGAACTCGCAGCCATGCAGACGCAGTCCCGCCTCGCCGTGAGCGGCGGCCGCAGCGGCAGCAACAGCAGCTCGGCCTCGGAGGACGAGCACGAGGCGGTGATCCGCGAGCTGACGCGGGGCCACGAGCTGACGGCGCAGCTGCGGGCGGAGGCCCTGCGCGCGCTGCGCGGGCAGGGCCAGGCCGAGGCCACCGCCGCATTCATCCTGCAGGAGGTGTCCCGCGCCTTCACCGTCTGCCTCTCCATCATGAGCTCGCCCGCCCGTGCCCCGCCGTCGTCCCAACAGCCGCCGACGATGGAAATGGCGCCCGCGCCTGCCCTGGCCCCGCCGCGCCGGAGCCGGGACGACAGCATCCCAAGAGAGTGAGTTGTTCGCTGCCCGCCCTGCCTGCGCAACAGACAAATGAACCAGCTCCCACTGGTGGCGGTGGGGCGATGCTTAATTTGTTCTAACAAATTATTGCACGCTGATCTAGCTAATCTGTCGCGTTCGCGTGTGGCATTTTGCTGGGCACAGACAAAGGATGACATCCTCGCCGCACTTCGATGGGTACCAGTGGAGGAAGTACGGCCAGAAGAGGATCACCAAGACGCAGTTTCCGAGGTCCATAATATCCTCTTCCTATACTTCTTGCTAGCTTAGACGAAAACAAGAAATTAACTATCCATTAGTCCTGAAATATAATGGATGTATTTTCAGTTGTTCTAATTCAGTTCATCTTAATTTTGATCAAATTCGTAAGAAAGAATATTAATTTCTACTATATCAAAGAGTTTAATTTATGAAAATACATTTCATAATGTATCTAATGAAGCTTATTTGATGTCGTAAATATCTTTTTATAAATTAGATCAGTTTAGGGTTGTTTGACTTAGTATAAAGAAAAATCTACTGTATTTCACGACGGAGGCATAAACATACTAGTACCAAACTAGTGTAACCTGCAATAGTAGGCCTAAAAATAACCCTTTTCCTCCAATAATTCAGCACGGCCGCTATACAAGAAAAGGGTAAGTTTGCCCTGTTGCTGCAAGCAGGGTAAGATTAGTGAGCGTGACGCATCTAGAGGTAGTAGGCAGCGTGCTAGCAACGGTGTTATCGTCTGGATGGATGGGCCGGAATGGGATTGGATGTGGATGTTGTCGTGGACAGCGACGCGTGGCACCGGGAACGCAAGAGACAAGTATAAAAAACCGCTTGATTGAGTTGACATGCACCCCGCCGGCCGTGTGGTGTGCTCGCCTTTAGAGATTCTTGAGCGGCCAGCAGAACGAATCGCCCACACAATTGAAAACCATCTAATAAAAAGTTTGATTAGGCCTCTTAACAAAAGCTGTTGATTAGAGATCATTCTGATGTTGACGCATGTTTATCTTCCAAGTAAACTAGCCATGCTTTTTCTTTGTCCATTTGTTTTTTCTTGACCAGCTTTTTGTCCCCGAAAGTACGCCTGGTGTACTTCTCGTGTGCGTAGATTAGTACCTGCTTTGCTATTACCACTGTGATTTAATTTTGCCCATGTGTGGAACTAATCTTGTAGCTTAGACCTCGCTAAGGGACGACGTGTAGTACCAGTAGTATTTTACTCGAGGCATCTTCCTTACGTCACAGCTAGTGACGTCGGATGCGATAGTTCCTGTCTTATTAGCCGCCATGTGCTGGGATGGATAGGCTGATCTGATTCCAACAAGTAAGCGTGTTGTCCTACCTGCTCTGCTCACTTTTGTATGTACGTGCTGTGCAGGTGCTACTTCAAGTGCAGCTTCCACCGCGAGCGCAGCTGCCGGGCCACCAAGCAGGTGCAGCAGTGCAGCAACGACGACCCGCCCCAGTACGTCGTCATGTACTTCAACGAGCACACGTGCGACACGGCGGCCTGGGAGACCGCGCCCGCGGCGGCGGCGAGCTCGGGGATGATGCCGCTGGACGACCTGTCCGCGCTGGTGGCACGCCAGGGCCACGGCGTCCGCGCGCTGCTGGACGAACGCGGCGTCCAGGAGGAGCTCGAGCGCCGGCTGCTCGTCTCGTCGCTCGCCTGCGTGCTGGGGGGCCAGCATCATCAGTCTCCTGCGGGCAGCGCTGTTAACGTGGGGCATGAGCAGGAGCCGCCGCCGCGGGCCCGCACGCGCGACGACGCGCCTACGTCTGCGCCTGCGGGCGTTGACGACGCGCCCGGTGAGATGCCGCGCATCATTGACGAGGACGTGGCGGGGCTGGATGTCATGGACTACGATGTGACGGACGTGCTGTGTTTCGTCGATTCCTACGACCTACCTGGCGACGGTTTCCCGTTTTGATGAGGGCGCAGGCGCACCACATGCATCTTCTCGCGAAGCGTAGTACGTGTCAGGCCCGAGATAGTTTAATCGGGCCAGCGAGACGGGTCACTGAACCTTTGGTGTGCGTGATTTTTTTTTTTTTTTTAACCGGGGAGCTTCCCATTCCCACTCGTTTTTGAGCAGAAATACGCTGGGCACCGGGTTCGAACCCGGGTGGGCTCAGCTCACGGCTCGCGATGCTGACCAAACAAGCGACTCGCTCCTTCCCTTTGGTGTGCGTGATCTATAATGACTGCTACAGATATATATACATAGAGCATATACGTACGTACCTCGTCGTCATATAATACTGTAATAGTACTATAATCTATCTATAGTACTCCGTACTTATCTAGCAGTAGTAAATACACTTGCAGTGTAGCTTACAGCCGGGGTTTGCCTATCTCCAGTTAAGTTTTGGTCAGGCTGGCGTTATTAATTTGCAAGTGCTTTTTTTTATGTTAATCAGCACGTATACTAGCATGTAGAACTATCAATTGATGTCACGTAGTTCCTTCTTTTGTTTCACTATTACAAGTGTACAATGTTTTACATGTACCACTATGGGTAACAAGAAAAAAAAGCAGCATATTTTTTTTTTTGTCAATTTTGTTAGCAGCCTTGTCAAAATCCAATGACTAGTAATCATTCCACCACCTCATGTGTGTTAAACACAGCCAACCGATCAATCCACACCCACTGCCCTCCCACACTCAACATCAGTCCAATCAGGTTACTAGGGTGAGCATTCAGTCCAACCAAACCGAACCAATGTGTTCTTCGGTTATTTTGGAAGTTAGACATCTAAAAGTAGAGACTGATCGGTTAGTTTTAAAACTTAGGATGGACTAGGTAAGTTCGACCTCGGTTAGTTTGGTTCGGCCTCAGTCATGTCCAAACTAATTAACCGGACAAGACTAACAACCACAAAATAGAATAATTTGTAGCAAATCTTAATTATATTAGCAATATTTTATTTCGATTTCAAGGCAAAAATGACAAGATAACATATAGATAAAACAAAATGATAAGAGTGATATAAACTCACTAGAATGAAAACTACATGACTAACAATAGTTCAAAGTGCACATTATGTCAACAAAATCCAAATATTTGGTTACCCGAGCCATATAACCGAACTAACTGTAATAAGTTTTGGGTAGTATGGACTCAAGACCAAACTAGTGATTGAAAACTTCGGTCCAGTCTCGATTAGTTTGGTTCGATCTTTGGTCAATTATGCCCAACCCTAACGGTTTTCTTCCCCTTACCCTTTATCATCACTTGACCTTTACTGCCACATTGGTGGTGTTTTTTCTAATCACATTACACAACGTCACTCACTTAATGAATAACACTATTAAATTCTAGAATAAATCCATAAAAATATGAACACATATGTCATGTCAAGGACTTGCACCTATGTCGGTAGATTTCACCATAGACAACCTAATCAATCAAGTTACTCTCAGTTTGTCATCGGTGGCTCCAGTTGTTGCCTCTTGCTAGCCATATCATCGGTAGCCTCGCAAGCCCTTCCACCACACTTCATGTTGGTATCCTCTCCTTTCGTCTAGAATTACACACAAACATAGTGATGGAAGATATATTCATTTATCGAGATAGGTTAGACTAACCACAATGTGGGTCTTCTACCGATGCTTGGAACTCAACTTTGTCTTTTAACCTTATGCAACCCACTATGCATGGTATGCAGTGCTGGAAAAAAGATTCCCATCATTGACATTTCTTTTCAACCCAGTGCATGATGGCTCATGGGTCCGCATGGCAGTCAATGCAAATGCAGTTGCGAACACACAAGGCTGGTACATTTTCTACTTGTTTGTTTGTAGCATATAGGGCCCACATCGATGCTTACACATTGTAGCTAAAGCTGAAATGGAATACCTATGATTGGGTGATGTTTCAAGCATCAAACACGCTATGGATAGTCTTATATGATCCCATCAACATTTGACAGATGCTTCAAAATAACTTTGTTTCATAGAAAATAACTCCAATGGAACAAGTGAATTTGTCCCTTACAAAGGGAATATAACCCATAAATGGTCACCCCAACCACAATGTGCGGCATAAGGTATGTCAACTGAAACCAAATTTCTGAAAGAAAATTGACTCTATATTCCTCTTTGATAGTCCTAGGATATATTGGCCACCACGAACAATTCCTATATCAGAGGATATCATTATCATCTATATATAACAATAAAAAATCACATAATATATTCATTTATATAATTTGTCAAAAGCCGGTACAAGTGCACAAGACTCGAATCATGTACAAATATATGAGACAAAACATCACTGTAGAACTAAGGTATATTCCATTGCCACATACATCTATTGGGGAAGAAAAAAACTTTCTAACTTCAATCATCCTCACTAGCACCGAAGACGTAACTCGCTCAAAGTCTAAAAGCATGCAACAATATAATAAGTCAGAAAAGAAGTAATCAATGTGAATCACTTAAGAGCAAAGCAATTTGAAGGAGTGTGCTAGGGTTTCATGCGGATAGCTATATAATTTTCCTATGCAGCAATACAACATGTGGCAAGTATAGGTATCTCATATCCAACACTATTACACAAAATGATTTTGCAAGACGGTGCCCTTTTATTAATGGAGGCGGTCACACAATCCAACCACCTCGGTTAATGCCTACGATTAACGGAGGCGGGCACTTTTTATTTACCGTACGGAGACGGTCGTCTTAAGGCAACCGCCTCAAAAAAGGTCTATTTTTTGGAGGCGATCGTCTTAAGATACCCACCTCCGTAAATCTATTTTTGGAGGCCGACATGCTATAAGGCCCGTCTCCGAAAAGGCCGAGGCCCAACCGCTCATCGTGGCCCGATTTTTGTCTTCAAGTATAAATAGAAATACTTTAGGGTTTCTTCACTTCTCCTTCTTTCTGTCTCACCGCCTCCCTCCCACCGAGCCAGCGCTGCGGCCTAGCGAGACCAAGCCACGCCTCCCTCTCCCTCTCTGTAAGGAAAATGGACCCTTGGCCCATTTACTTTGGATTTTGGTGTTTGATGACCAACACAACCAAATTGGACTAATGAATTTGCAAGTGTTTGTTTTGTAGTTCAATAGGGTGCAAGACGTGACTTGGACGAAGGCGACATGATGATCTGATGATCAACACCTCAAGCAAGACCTTAGAAGCACAAGTGAAGACCCAATATATCAAGCAAAGTCCAAGCATGAAGATTGGAACCAAGCCGTACGCAAGATCGCGAAGAAACGAGCTCGTGAGACGACCGGACTCTAGACCGGACGCTGGACCGGTGGCTCAGCAGACAGGCGACCGGACGCTAGACCGGACGCTGGAGGCAACCGACCGGACGCAGGGCATCAGTGTTCGATCGAGTACAGAGAGGTTCTAGGCGCGTGAAACTGCGACCGGACGCTGGCAGCGTCCGATTGGTAGTTCGCGGCTGCAACGGTCGGGACGACCGAACGTGTCCGGTCAGGACAATTCAGCGTTCGGTCAGTAGCAGAATCACGGGAGTTTTGACCCCAACGGCTACTTTCTCAGTGGGGCTTATAAATACAACCCCCAACCGGCCATTTGAAGGTGTGGAGCTGAGGAAACATATCTAGGGTGTTGATACACCATTTTAGTGATCTCCACTTGCATAGTGCTTAGTGTTTCATTAGGTGATTAGCGTAGGTGCTTTGCGAAGTGCTTAGGTTGATTAGACCACCGCTTATGCGCTTGCTTTAGGTTTAGGCCTAGTGTTTAGTGAGGTTTGCATACCTCTTACCACTCGGTGCTTGCGCGCACCATTGTTGTACATCGGAGGGGCTTGAAGTCTTGTGAGATCACACCAACCGCGTTTGTGGTGTGGCCGCCACCATGTACCGGAGGGAACAAGGCCCGCGGCGTTTTGGCCGGAAGCTTGATAGTGAAGACGGCGGGGAGCATCCGGGAGAGGCTTGCCGGAAGGCACGTCGGAGACCCACTTGCGCGTGGGGAAGGCCCGAGGCTATCCACGGAGTTACTCGACCGGGAGCTTGGCCCTTGTGAGGAATTCCTTGCGAGGGGCTCCAACGGGGACTAGGGGGAAGCTTGCGCGCTTCTCGATACCTCGGTAAAAATACCGGAGTCATCGATGGGAGTTTGCATATCTCTACCTTACTCTTTAGTTTCCGCATTTACATTGATTGCATTACTCCTTTTTGCGGTAGAGATAGCAACACATTAGCAAAACCGTAGTTGCACATTTAGATAGTTTATCTTTTGCATATGTTTTGCTAAGGGTAGAAAAAGAGGCCATAGTTTAGAGTTAGATTTTTTAAGTTGCCTAATTCAACCCCCCCTCTTAGGCGTCTCGGTCCCCTTCACTCTCCACTCTGGCCCCCCACTCCGTCTCCACTCCGCCCTCCCTCTCCCTCTCTCGTGGCACGTGGGGCAACCCCCACCAACGTCGGCGGTGCGTGGAGCGTGCGGAGGCGGTGACGGCACGCCTCTCCTCCCTCCCTCGTCGCACAACCGGCAGATCTGGTTGGGGTGCGACCACTCGCTCGTGTCGCCCAGCAACGGTAGCGGCGGCATGGTGGCCCAAGGCGGCCACCAGCTCACGCATGGATCCTCTAGATCCAGCAGGTGTGGATCCTTCAACGGCGGCGTAGATCCGGCCTCGATCCGCTCTTCGACACAGGTAATTGATGGATCCGCTCTTCTCTCCCTCGCTCTCCATCTCTCCTCGCTCCTCTCTCCCTCACTCTCTCTTTCTCCTAGGATTGAGGATCTAGCGGTGGTGTGGAGGTGCATGCTCTGGATCCGGCATGGAGGAGGCCAGCCGCGCCCGAATCTGGCGAGGAGGAGGTCGGGTGCGCCTGGATCCGATGACGGCGGTGATCTGGATCCACAGCGGAGGTCGGCGAGGCCAGATCCAACAACTGGGCTAGCAACGGGCTCGTCGACAGGCACGAGAACAGGCTTGCCGGTGGGCTTGTTGATATTTTTTTGTTTTTTTACCGATTAACCGAGGCGGGCATTCTAAAGCGCCCGCCTCCGTTAATCGATTAACCAAGGCGGGCAAAGGAACCGCCTCTGTAGTTCCTCTATTAACGGTGACCTTTGATTGGAGGCGGTTGCAATGCCCGTCTCCATTAAGATTTTTGTAGTAGTGCAAGTTTCCATCTCAAGATATTCTCACCAATATGGACAGAAAGTCCAAAAATCCCAAATCAAGTCGATAAGGAAATGAAACATATCTCAACATTATCTCATCGGCTAAAAGAAGACACATCTCAACAGAATAGGAGGTTGAATACTATAAAAATATAGTTAGGGTAACAAACACATGACCGAGGGCGCACCTATATGAATAGTTCAAACTATATAGGGTTTGTAAAACTTTACCCACAGAAAAGCAAGTTTATTGTGGCATACGACCATCATAGTGATCCAATATCATCCTTGGTGCCAATCCTTACTAGTCTTGGGGTGAGCCTTGTCAGTCTTTTACATATGGAATGCATGTTCACATAGGCCCATGAAGCATGGTTATACCAACTTAACCCTTAATCAATTTGACCAAAGCACCTCTCTCTAAAATGTGCACGAACACTAATATATATATCTATTACAAGTAACCGCCACTGAACTCCTCAAGTCTGGAGAATGCTCATGTACCAAATCCATATCGTTTTGGTCTAGTACACTAAATGATATCGGTAAACAAAGGTGTATTCCCTAATCAGCTTGACTTGCATGGACATGCATTCACATGGTCATATAAGATTTTTTTTTTGTGAAAAAAGTTCAGATTTTCTCAAACAAAATATAACATAGCTTTTGTGGTATGTTACAAACTTTCAATGTCATGTATGCCCCGTCAACCAAGGCTCGGAATCATGAAGCATAGTTGGATATTCAACTCACTTCATCCTTTTAAGAACATCTCTTTGTTCTTTCTACATTATTAAAATTTGTGTGGCACTTTATCAGTCATTTATTCCATGTATAATAATAGAACTTGAGCATGTTCTTTAGGGGCCCAACCGTGGAAACACATGCTTAAATGATAAATGGGCAGCCCTTTGATGCAAGTGGTTATACACATGTATGATTAAACGATAGCAGCATAAAGGAAACAGTCGAAAAAGGAGGATCATATGGCTCGTGGCCCCTTTCGGCCTCTGAGTTCTCATACGACCACACACCACGAAATCAAAAGCACAGCCAACACAGAAGGCGTGATGCTGGAATTCAACAAGATAAAGCTCCAACATGAAGAAAAGACTCTGCATTCTCGAGTAATGATTGCGACTGTTGCCATGGTGACTTTCCGGTCTGGGCGAGCAAGTTCTCGCGTTTGCTGCTGGAGTGCTGGGCGTAGCAGTGCGTTGCAGTTTTTGAAAAAAAAATGTGAGTTGCAGTTTGAACGGGCCAAATTATACTCGTAGTATAAATAAATATAATGAAAAGCCATAAAAGGAGCAGCAACATGGACAATCTGGTACTACGTGGACGTGGTTACTGGTGTGAACGCACGCGGTGGGCACTGGAGCCCGTGCGGTTTGCCGCTATAGACCCGCGTCAGACGTCACCCGAGTACCCGACCCCGACCACGCAGATCATACATCCAGGCCTCGTTTAGATGCTGAAAAAATTTCAAACCGATGAATAGTACCACTTTTGTTTTATTTGACAAATATTGTCCAATCGTGGATCAACTAGACTCAAAAGATTCATCTCGTGATTTCCAACTAAACTGTGTAATTAGTTATTTTTTTTACCTACATTTAATACTCCATGCAAGCGGCTAAAAATTAATGTGATGAAGAGAGAGTGAAAAAACTTGGAATTTTGGTGGCATCTAAACAAGGCACCACTACGGCTTATCGGTCTGCGCGCCCAGCTTTCGGCTGACACCGATGAGCAGCCGGATCCATCTGGGGAATGGCTGCTGACGCGCGCGCGCGGGCAGCGCTGGGCTGGCGGGCTGAGCTCTGACGGTGACATCAGGGACGCGGGCGTCACGCTGCGGCCGCTACGTCGACGTCATGCGTGTCTGCGTTCGCCGTTCGCGTTCCGTGGCGTTCCCTGCGTGCTCCTCCCCCACCTGCGCCCTGATGGCGAAGTGTGTGGATGATGGCGAAGCCCGGCCCCCCGCGGGGTTATTTTTTTCCGCGCGTGCAAAACATTGAGCCGCTGTAACCAACGCCTTTTCTCCTGTGCTCACTCGCTAGCTGTCCCGGGCCCCGCCTTTCGCGATCCCTCTCGTCTGGCATGGCTACGCTACGCCGAGTGAGCACGTATGTAGATATGTACGGGCGTGTATACGTAGTTCCACGCATTTGTACAGGACCGCGGCATGGGAATCCAAGCCCTCTGTTATTCCGGCCGAGAGCAGAGAGCTGCATATCTACATGTGTACATACTACATAGTGATAAGAACCATGCAAATACATACTCCGTATCCGTAGGAGAGTATTTCACCGTTTGATAGCCCTTGTCGGAACGGAAGCTTCGATCGGTTTGTCCATGAACTGAACTTGCTAGAAGTGGCGCGGCCAAATCTTGGAGCCACACACAAACGTGCAGCAGCAAGAGCAGATTCTTCCACACTGGGACTGGGAGAAAGAGACAACTGATCCATGGATTCATATTTCCAGTCCACAGTGACAGATACATCGGTCGGTCGGTTCTATTAAGTGCATGCATTGTCGTCACTGCCCGTCCGTCCCATTTTCGATCAACATCATGAATACCTCCAGTGCGTAGGAAGCAACCTCGGAGGACGGAGCGAGGGAGAGTCAACGCCTGCACTTGTCGCGCACTCCACTCCGACTCCGAGCGAGCAATCGTACGTTCATGAACGGAGGTGTGTTACATCCACGTCAACGGCCCGCCCACCGGATCGGAGCCTCGCTTCCATTTTGGGTGGACCGACCGGCTACATATGCCTACTATGCTGGCTTGCTTTGTCACCAAGCGGCGAAACGTGCATGTCACCTCGGCGGGTGCAGGCGCAAAGAATTGACGAAGAATGCGGCGGGATTACGGCCGGGATGGGACGCGACGCGACGCGACACCAACACCAAACACGTACTGCGGGCCGGGGGTCTTCGTCCGTTCCTGTTCAATTCTGAGAAGTTTCGTTTGGCTTGCTAGGCGTGCGTGCATGCCGCACACCATCGATATCACACTTCACACACTGCCAGTCTTCGTCAACCTCGACTTAGTTGTGTGTGCTATAGAGAGGGAGAGGGGCGGAAGTCACAAGTCTGTCCTTTTGTTAAAAAAATGTTAATTGGGCCGGTTAATTCGATCAGCCCACGGGCCGAGATGCGCGCGGAGAGAGGAGGCATCAGGGGAGTGGCCGTGAGGATGGAAAGGGAGGGGTTGAGTTGATGACGTGTGGGCCCCACATGTCACTGAGATGGACAAAACCGCTCTACGTTGGACAAAACAGCCTCACCCTGCGCCCAAGTGCTAAAAGTGAACGGTTTTGACAGTTAGGATATTAGCATTAGACGGACCCAATAGTGAAGGACTAAAAGTGGACTTAATCAAAAAAAAAATACTACTACTACCGTTTCAGACTTCAGTGTTTGCACATATCATCACACACTCTTGTCTTTGTCCCTCTCGGCTATAAACACAGGGTCCGTCACGCATGGTGGTCACGGCTCACGACTCGACACTGATCCTGTGATCCACAGTAGAGCTGGGACTACACCAACTGCCTACTAGTACTTCACGCGCTAGCTCTGGCCACGTATAGCGAGTCAGCGGCCGGCCGTTTGTCTGCCGGTCGGCTCCATTAGCCATCGCTCGTGTTGGTCTGATGTTATCATCGGTGATTGCAGTCACTGCCACCACCATCAGTGATGCTGCTTGCTGCAGCTTCCATGCAGCATGCTTTGCGAAACATGGCTATGTGCGCGTTTAGTTCGCCAAAGTTGGATTTTGGGGCTACTGTAGCACGTTCGTTTTTATTTGGTAAATAGTGTTCAATCATGAACTAATTAGGCTCAAAACGTTCGTCTCGTAATTTCCCACCAAACTGTGCAATTACTTTTTTTTTCGTCTATATTTAATGCTCTATGCACGGACCGCAAACATTCGATGTGACAGATACTGTAGCACTTTTTGGGATTTTGGGGTTGAACTAAACGAGGGATATATTTGTGGGCACAGTGCCATTAACCTCAACGCCAAGCACCCGCGGAGGTGTGCCGCGGCCACACCGTGTCCGCGAGCCGGGCCACATCCACGTGCATGTCGCGGTGGTCCATCATCAGCTGATCCTGATCGGCCTCCCCCACCGCACAAAACGACGAGGGATCCCAGCAAAAGTCCGTGTCGTCGATCATCATCGTCGTCGTCGTCGTCATCGCCCCACCATCTTCCGCGACGCCCACGCTCGCCGAGTGTCCGGCGGAGGCCTGCATCGGCGGTGGCACGTACGACGCTGCAGCAGGATCTCTTGCGCCCGCTTCGGCTGCTGGCGGCCACGGGGACGGCAACGGCGACGGCGCGGCTCCGCGGATGACGTCCGCGAGGCACGAGACGATGGTCTCGTTCTCTTGGGCGCTGCCGCTGCCGCCGCCGATGCGAGGAAACGACGACGACAGATCGTCGAACGGGACGCCGCCGCCGCCGTCTCTCGCGGTGTCCACGACCCCGAGGTCGCGGTACGGGTTCGTGGTCCGGGGAGACGCCGCCATCCTAGCAGCGTCGCCGTTGGCAATGGCGCGGAGCACATGGCACGTGTGCTCGTTCACGTAGGTGACCTCGAACATGGGAGGCAGCTGCTGGCCCCGGCTGCCGTCCTGCTGCTGCACCTTCTTCTTGGCTTCGCAACGCCGGTCGCGGCTGCACCTGAAGTAGTACCTGCATGCAGAGATTGCCAGCTACGATTAGGAAAGTTTGCTGCTGATGACCATGGCCCTCGATCGCGCATTAATTGTTTCCAAAACAGGACAAGGGACGACCCTACTGTACTAGGGATGGATGCGGGGGTGGTTAAGCTTGACCATGCATGTTGACGACGCAAGTCAAGTCGTCGGCCGGCTGTGCAAGCGTGCATCTCATTGTGTTCCAGATGACGGCACTGAAATGGACTTAGTCGCGTGGTTAAGCTACTAATTACTATGAAATGGCTTGGACATTATATGTGTAATGTGTTGCAGGTAATCAAGCGTGGCTTGCTTTGTAGTGGTACATGACACACGAATTTCTATTAGTACCAAAGACTTGTTTTTGCAGGATATATGCACCATAATTCCAACAGAATTCTTATGAAATTCCCTTTTTACATTGAGAAGGGGCGCTGCTCATTAGTCATTCCAAACACCAGCAATTCTTGGTTAAACTAGGTGTTTATTATCTGGATCTATGGACAAACATTCATAGATCATAGATCGAGCCAACCTCTTCGGATGGCGACCTTTCAAAGAACATGTCGCTTTTATTGTATATCTAATATTTTCAGAATAACAAATTCCACTAAGGGTCTGTTTGGATCCACCAACTAAATTTTAGCTGGCTAAATTTAGCTACTATGGATCCAAACGGCATAAGAAAAAAACCAGCTAAAGTTTAGCTGTTTTAACCTAGCTAAACTCGGCTAAAGTTTACTTGAGTCTATTAGCTGGAGGATCCAAACACGCCCGCTAAAGTTTAGCTAGGGGAATTTTTAGCTGACTAAAGTTTATTATAGTTTTATCCTAAATCAAACATCTCTAATTCTAACCAAGTTTTCTTTTAAAAAATACTAACATCTATATGTTCAAATAAATACACTGCCAAACCATATTAGATTGAGAGTTTAATTAAACTAATTGGATGTTATAGATGTAGGTGATTTTTCTAAGCTAAAACAAACTATAATTTAGAACGAATGGAGTAATACAATATTGTTTACTAGAAGAGACTGTATTTTAATATTTTTCTTATAACACCACCATATGAGAATGCATGCCCTAGCTTCTAAGCACCACGAATTGAACCACAGTAATTTTACTAGTAATATCTTCGAAAAGTATGATTTCTTTCATATAATATAGTATAATGTTATGAAAATATTTTTCTGTCAAATCTAATATAAACCTATCTTACATATTTTTTCGAAGTAAACCTATCTTACATTTTAATAACATATTGATGGTCGAAGTTAAAAAAATTACTCAGAAATTCTTAAATAACATGTTTTCTTGAATTGGACGGATTATTGGACTTTCACCTCACGAAATTGCAGTTCTGAATGTTCTTTTGCCCGTATTTCCGCCACTCGTAACCATCGTTGTATGGCGAGGCCGTAATCTCCTTCCTAGTAACCCCCTCTTCTCTACTCTTCTTGACGGGAGTAAGCACTTCTCCACTATCACTCCTAGCAACAGCACGGTGAATATTCGTGATTAAGCAATCCAAACACAGTCCACAACCAAGCAAGCAAAGTTTCTCATAAAAAAAAAAAAAAAAGGTGAACAAAGTTTAAATGACAAAGACAGAGCCCACACGCCTTCAGTAATCAGCATATACCTTTCACGCTTATCCTTCGCCGCCTGAATGATGACGCCGGAGCTATCGCCGGTCCTTATCTCCGGCGCCGTCTTCCTCTTGTCACTGTGTTACTGTTCAGCATGGACATGGATACCTCGAACACTCGCGAGAGCTCTTGGCTGAACGCCATGACCTTCTGCTGGCCGAGGCTATCCAGGGGACGGCCGAGCAATGCCTGGAGTTGGGTGTTGAGATGGTAACCCATGGCGAGCACATCGAACAGCTTTGCGTCTTGTTGGAATGTCATCTTCGATTCTCAGACGATGACCAAAGAAATCGGGTCAAGTATATAGTAGGAGTCGAGAGGGGATTTTGTGGTATCTAGCTTTGGGTCTTGCTGAACTGCTGAAGCGAGTATTTATGCAGACAGACCGCTGACTGCGATCAACCTAGCTTGCCAATACTTTTTCAGAGATTGCTCACCTTTGAGCTTGATTGACTAGTTCAAACTCCTTTTCATTAATCTAAGTTGATCACTAATGTCAGCGGGGTCTTTTCATTTGATGATCCCGGTCTTCTGACTGACGGATCTATGGACAGATTATAGATCGAGAGGTTGACTTCTCTGTGCCGTATCATGGTACAGTACATGCAGATGCAGCAGAAATTTCGGTCTCTGCTTTCTGGTGGTCAACCCTGAGTCTGACTCATTGTCACAAAAAGAAAAAAAAAACTGAGTCTGACTTGAGAGCTGGTAGTACTATGATATGATAATAGAGTAGAAGTATCTACTCTGCTATGCCTGAATGCCACGCATTATTAGGTTGTTGCAAACTGACAATATAGAACGTGGACAGAGCTGCCATTTCAAACTCGCCTGCAACGAATTTCCAAGTTCAGTCCCACAAGAGACGTCGGACAGGGACACGAGCCTATGGCCTATCGGTACCGGATGATCGTAATACTCGGTAGCAATCAAGAACCCGCGGCATGTCATGCAACACATGGCACAGGGTCAAGGTGACCACACCGCGTATGGGGTTTTGACCCTGCTGTAGTTACATTGTGCATGCATGATGCAGGTCAAATCCATATGCTCAGCTGAATGTTTCTACTACTAGTTACCACCTTGATGATCCTGACAGTCAAGGAGAGTGATCTCTGCACTTGAATTGCATTTTTTTTTCCCGTTCCCACGAAGCAGAGATGTCTTGCTGGAGAAATCCGCGCGAATGTGGCTCTCAGGATTCACCAATCAGGATTGCACTGGTTAGAGTTGTGACTTCTTTTTCCCTGATCACCAGTATGAAAGCCCAGTGACTCAAAAGACCTAACGTTATGCTGACGCTATTGTTACTCTCACCAACCAGAGCCTAACCCAGTTCTAGATTGACTTGGAGTTGTCTCATTAGGTTTAGAAGAGCCCTGACTCTGATTCCAAAAGCTGGTCGTATGTCTAGGAGATTGGTAGGGTCCCCAACTTAACACTTTGACTAGTATATAATATATGTACGTTATTTTACTCCAAGTTTCCAAATTATATATCATTTTAGCTTGTCATAAGTTGAACGTCCTTAGTTTAACTAAATTTATAGAAAAACACATCAATATTTACAACATCAAATTTGTTTGATCAAATTCTCTATAAAATATATATCTTTTTTTTTACGAATGACAAAGTATAGATTTAGATGCCAACAAACACACAAATTGACCCCTACGAGCACCTCTGAAAAAAAGGCAACAATCCTAAAGTTGACAAAGTCACCATATGTGCCTCCCTGTCGAGTGGAGCATCGTTGTTCTGGGTTTGTAAGCCACGACGAGTAATTTGTGGATCGATTGATGAGTCAATGTGCGGGACTTCGGTGGTTTAGTACTCATGACACAAAGGTTTATCATGGTTCGGGTGTCTAAGCCCTATGTCTAGCAACGAGTGCTTCGTGTTAGAATGCTCAATCGAGTTCTTACAATGGAAGAGGAAGAGAGATGGTAGGAGAGCGCTAGCTAGAAGTGATCTAGGGTTTTCTAGGGTTTGTCCCTGTTGTGCAAGATGATTGTCCTCTGTGTGTAAAACAATCGTCCTATCCTTCTACAAAGCCTCTGCCCCCCTTATATCCCCCAGGGGGACGCGAGAGGAGTACAATGAGTAAGGTTGCTCATCAATCTCTTAGCAAATAAAGTAGCCCTAGGGTTTCATATCCTAATCTTCAAGTCGGTGGAGACATCCGTGTTGTCCCCTTCTCTGATGGTCGTGGCCGACAAGACAACATGTTGCCATCTCTGACACCGTTTATAGGAACTAGAGCTGCCATCAGAGCCTGGAGATGCCATTGTGTCTCACCTGCCTTCACCCCTCTCCATGGTGTCTGTTGTACATCAAAGAGGTAGGTGTTGCCTTAGGAGAGACTGGTGTAGGGTCGAGATGGCGGACTAGAGGGGGTGAATAGTCCTTTCTAAAATTAAACACGTCGACTAACCGAGATAAATACGAAATTAAAACTAACAGTCTAGCCAAGACTACACCCTCTATCTAAGTTCACAAGCACCTTATAAAGATCCTAATTAGGCAACAAAGGTGCCGGGCTAGCTAGAGCTCACCTAATCAATTCTAGAGCAAGGTTACATAAACCTATGCACTAGTACTTTGCGCAACCGGGGGAGCTCCTACACAATCTAGTAAGCAAAAGCACAAAGTTTCTAAGCTCACTAGCAATGCTCAATAACAAGGCAACTAATGCCAAATTAGAGAGCGCAAATTACTTAGCTACACAAACTAAGCAATGTGACTAACAAGGTTACTCAAACCAAATTAGTCACGCAAGGGAGCTACTTCTATGCTACACAAGCAAGAGGGTAACTAGCAAGCTACACAAGCTAACTAATTACAAGAGCAACTACACAAGCACAATGTAAATGAAGTAAATACAAGCTTGTGTAACGAGGATGCAAACCAACGGGAAGACAAGGATGACACGGTGATTTTTATCCCGAGGTTCACGTGCTTGCCAACACGCTACTCCCCGTTGAGACAAGCTCCAAGGTTGCCGTCGGTCCTCTTGTTAGTGGTGACCCGCAAGTCACACTCTCCCATGTGGAGTGTTTACCACAAGCTCTAGCACTTGACCCGGCCGGACCACTTGTCGCCCTTCGCGTCTCGCTCTATTAGAGTTGCTTTTCGTGGCTTCCGCGGGGTGAGCACAATCCCCCTCACAATCACTTCTCCGGAGGACTGCACAATCTTCTTTGTGTGCTTTGACGGAGACCACCACCAAACCATCTAGGAGGTGGCAACCTCCAAGAGTAACAAGCACCACCGGCTTGCAACTCGATCACCTAGTGCCACTCGAAGCAACCTCACGTTGCAATCGCACTAGAATCACACTCACTCGCAATCGGATGCAACCACTATGTGCACAAGTGAGTTAGAGGCTCTCCTAGCACTCTCCAAGCATGGACACTAAGTCCTAAGGGTGCTAAGCATGTGCCTAGGCCAGCCACATACTCCTTTTATAGCCCCAAGGGCTAAAATAGTTGTTACCTCCTTCATCCTGATTTCTGCGCACTGACCGAACTCGCTGATTGGACTCACCCTAGAGTCCGGTCCAGAGTCCGATCACTCCTCGTGCACCACATGTACTAGCCATTCGAACATGACCGTTGCTCACCAACGACTAGCTCCTGCAAGTGCATACTCCTGACCGGACGTGCCTAGGTCCAGCGACCGGACGCACTGAGGCCGAGTCCGGTCATCATCATCGCGCCTCTACACAACTGACCGGACTCCCTTTTATCCTATGACCAAACTCGACTCTCCCAGAGTACGGTCACTTCCAGAGAGGTTTCAGAGAGCTTTTTTTGATTACCGGACGCGTCAGGTCATTATAACACCTCTGGTGTTACGAGCTTGCTTAGCACTGTGATTATGGCCTAAGGGATAGATCTATAAATATAGTGAGTTCTTTACTTAAATGTGCTAATGAAAAATTATAACAAGAAAATAAGAAAAGTAGTTTTAATTGTTTGGCACGAAAAGCGATTTCTATAAACAAGAATAAAACATAATTTGTATCTAGTACTTAAATAAAAATTGAACTACAAGTTTTGTAGATGGAAATGTAACAATAACGGTTGGGAAGCAAAGGTTGTTAATTAGTGTTCTTGGAAGCTCAAAAATCAAATTGGAAATTAAAATTAGCCCTTTTCGTTGAATCGGCAAAAATTTGAAGTTGTGTTAAAAGTACACTTTTTGGTGATTTATAAAATGCAGAATAGTTAAATAACGCCCTGATGTTTTGGTTCTATTGTTTAGTATAAAGTGTGTGTTATGCCGTGAAATGGTTGTTGGTGAAGTTTGGTAAAGTTTTGACCGTTTAAAAATTCAACCAAAAGTGCTAGGGAGTGTTAGTTCTAACTGGAATCTAGTCTGAAAAGATGAGACAATGCTACTTCAACATTTAAATATCCGCAAAAATTTCCTAAACATCAACTCCATGTTTTTGCACCGTTAGTTGCGTCGAAATGAGCCCTTGAGAGCGGTGTAGGTCGAGGTGGTGATGGGTGTCACGACACTCGTAGAAATTGCCTAACTTCTTTAGAACGCGTTGTAGACCGCGAATTACTGCTCGGTTCGTGAACCAGCGCCCAGCTTGACGAACCCATCTTGGCATCCTCCTATCTTCCTCTCGGGTGGTCCTTTTGTTGTGTGGATTGCTCCGTTAGATAGCTGATAAGATCAACTTTAGAGTCGTGGAATTAGTTGAACCTCAATCGTGATCGTTAGCAGCTTTTCGTTCGCTTTAAAACTCATGCGTAGCTGCTGTCGACCGTAATGTCGTCCGCGTGCGCGTCGGGAGGTGCTCTTGTCCGTTGCCGTTCGGTCACTGCAGCGCTCGCTCTCAGCCACTCATAATACCTACCTCACCCGATATGACTCGTGCGTTATTGAGGAAGGGACCAAGCTCGATAGTTGCGGAGATGCTGCTTGCCATCCCTCCCCCTGCTTGCCTCTACCACTTTCTCTCCCGTGCCCCATAGCACCCACCATGGCCACGCTGTCCGTCGCCCGGCCCCACTCGCAAGGCGTCTGCGACCCCCACGACCCGCTGTGGGTCCTCAGAGCGCCCCAGCGCTGCCCTCCCGAAGCGCCTCCCCATCGCCGCCTCGGCCTCGCCTTCTTTGGTGTTGCCGCCGCGGCCTCTGCACGCTGCCGTGCGCATGGCCGGCCCGCTGCAAGCACCTACGGCCACTCCGCGAGTAGCAAGCGGTGCGGTCGGCCACCACGAGGCTTGCTAGTGTGTCTCCCTC